TATTACAGAAACTAAATAAAATACACAGGTAAGAAATCATTCAAACCTCTATATGCCAATGTTCTAAGTTGAACTGGACTATTTTTTTGCACAGCCTTTGTCAGGTGAATCTATTTCATATTTTTAAAATGCTACTTGAATTCTGCAATCCTGGAAGTAAGATTCTTAAAAAACTGGAATCCTATACTCAAAATAGCCTTTGTTTCTAAAGTAAATGTTACAAGATATCTGCATATTTCAAAATGGATTTTTTTTCTCTAACAAACGTTTATTGAGTGTCTACTATGTAAAATGCAAGTTTGGGGCATGGGGAAGAGAGCAGTTAATAAAACATAAAAATCCTGGCCTTCAAAAAACTTAAGCTCAATGGAAAATCCTATATAGTTAAAACAAATAAATGAGACATATAGCCTACTAGATGGGGAAAGACTAGGTAAAATAATAAAGTCAAGAAGGAGGTAGAGAGCTGGGAGGTGGGAGGTGGGTTGCAATTTTAAGTAGGCTGGTCAAGGAAGGCCCCTTTGAGGGGCAGCATTTAAGCACCAGGAGATACACAGGTGTACCTGGGGAAGGGACACGCTGGCAGAAAGAATACAAATACAAAAGCCAGTGTGGCTGGGGTAGTATGAGCAAGGGGGAGAGTGGAAGAGAGGGACAAGGTCCGAAAAGTGACAGGGGACAGATCAGTAGGGGATTGTAGGCCGCTGAGATGTGGGATGAAAAGCCATTAGAGAGCTTTATTTAAAGCATTCATGTGATCTGGCTTACTTTTTTTATTGCAATATAATTCACATATTATAAAATTCACCTTTTTAAAGTACACAATTCAGTGGTATTTAGTATGGCCACAAGGTTGTGCAATCATGACCACTTCTGATTCCAGAATATTTTCATCACCCCCACAAGAAACTCCACACCCATTAGCAGTCACTACCCTTTCCCTCTCTCTTCAGGCCCTGGCGACCACTAAGGGACTTTCTGACTCTACGGATTTGCATATTTTGCTCATTTCACATAAATGGAATCACACAATATGTGGCCTTTTGTATCTAACTTACTTTTTAGTTGGATCTCTCTGGCTGCTGAGATGAGAATAGGCTGAAGAGAGGCAAGGACAGAAGCAGAGAGACCAGCAAAGAGATGAATGTAATAGTTCAACTGAGAGATGAAATGGGCTTGAAATAGGATGGGAAGTGAAATAGTGAGTAACAGCCTGGGTACATTCAGATAGACTGGATGTAAGGTAAGAGAGGAAGGAAACTCAAGGACAACTCTTAGGTTTTTGTCTCGAGCACCTGAAGAAATGCAGTTGACATCAACTTAGAGCAAAGGCTATTGGAGGGGCAGGTTGGGAGGAAACACCAGGGCCTGGACTTTGGAGATGTTAATTAAATCTGGGATGCCTCTTAGTCTTCCATGTGAAGATGTCAAAATAGGAGGTTGATATGAGTCTGGAATTCAAAGGAGAGGCTGGAGACATAAATTTGGGAGTTAGAGGATGCAAGGTGTTCCTACCATGAAAATTGATGAGATCACCAAAGGAGTGAGTGATTCAAGAGAAGAGATCCAAGGCTCCTTGGACATGTCAATATTTACAGGTCAGAGAGACAAGGAGGAACCAACAAAAAATAATGAGAAGGAAACACCAATAAAGTGGGAGAACCAAGAGAGAAAGAAATCTTAAAAACCAAATGAAAAACTTATCACGGAGAAGGGCATTGTCAACTATGCCCAGTGCTGCTGATGGAGCAATAATGTGGGACTGAGAATTAACCACTGGATTTAGGAACACAGAAGGCAGTCATTGACGGACCACATATCTCCTCCCTGCCTTCTTGCTCACTCTACTCCAGCCACATCCACCTTTGCATTTGCCATTTCATCTCTAGGCATGTGTCTTCCCAATATATGGTTTTGAAAAGAACAGTTTGAGTGGAGCAGGAAGGGCAAAAGCCTGACTGGAGTGTGTTCAGGAGACAGTGGTAGGAAAGGAACTGAAGTCAGCAGCAATTCTTTGGAGGAGTCTGGTTTTAAGGAGGTGGAGAGAAACAGCTGTAATGAAGGTGGCCCAAAGAGAAAGCTTTTTTAAGATGGGAGAAATAAAAACATATTCATATATTGGTGGGACATATCTGGTACAGAGGGAAACACGATGAGGGAGGGAGCAGAGAATCACTGAGATAGGTTAGAGAGGACAGATTAAACAAATTTTATCTGTTTGTCAGATAATCAGTAATTATAATATAAAACATCTCCTGATCCAGGAAAATCAAGTAAGGACAAGCTATTTTTTTCCAGAAGACAGAAAAACTACCATCATTTAAAATGACCTGGATCCACTTTTCAAGGCTGAAGATATCAGATTAATTGTACACAGTATACACACATGGTCAGAGTTAAGCACTGGGCTTAGAGTCATAAGATACCAAGTTCAAGGACCATGACAAGTTGCACTACCCCAGAAACTTCTTTTGACTTCTGTTTTTATCCATAAAACACTGATCAAAAACAACCTGTCCTCTCTACCTTACAGAATTGATGGGATGATTCAACGAAATATGCAAACATTGTAACTCTTAGGCATCGTGTCCCTGTAAGGCATTTTTAGTGCTACTAGATAAGGCAGGATTGCACACGCTTGGTCTTACTCCAACACTCTACACTTTAGCTCCCCTTTTTCCAGAAGGGGAAAAAAGGCAAAATGAAAAACTTTTGGAAGAATAATTAAATCATGGAAAAATAGAAGCTTTCTGGGTATGTATTGTATTTAAAAGACACTTAACAAGTCGTACATGAACTATGCCTTAATTTCAACCTTTAAAAAACTCCACAACTAAGACACCCCCTAGTTTAGATTCAGCTAAGCCCAGGGCAAAAAAACCAGTACACTAAATTTGACTATAGGCCTGAAGTAAGATCATACTTTAAAAAAGATATGACTTAATATCTGCTCATCAATCTATTTTATTCATGTTCCCTACCACCTGCCAGGATCAACTCAAATCAAAAGATCATTTATTTGATCCTTCTTGCCCAATAGAGACATTAGTAGGTGTTTAAAAGAATTTTTTTGGTTATTATTATCTATTAATTAATTTTTAATTCTGGCTGCCTTAGTGTATGGACCAAAGCTGTCTTTAAGGAAAATATATCTTACAGGGTATCTTGATGTAGCCATTAACTTTTCTCCTATTTCTTCAGGTAAACTAAGACACAAAGGTGTGTGCTCATTTTTTCTATAAAACCAGAATGAGCCTTTATCAAGAAACCATTAAGTTAACATAAAGAATTCTGAGATGGAATTTACAGTAGACATCCAAGTTGAATTGACCTTATTCCTCAGCTCGCCCTCACAATTGACCAGAAAACGTAGGTAAGAACTCAGCTGGCCATTGGATCTCATAAGATTTTAAAGGAAAGTGTGAAAGACAGAATATACAAGGAAATACACACACACACAAACACCTATATATACGTGTATGTGTATATCACTTTCCTTTAAAATATGTCTACATCTCTTTATATATGCACCACTTGGCAGAGCAATCAGAGCTTCCTTGCGAAATCAATGTGTACACTTCATGAATAATTAATAGGAAAAAAGCTTAATTTTTCTAATTATAAAGATACCTTTGTGTACACTTCATGTATAATTAATAGGAAAAAGAGCTTCATTTTTCTAATTATAAAGATATCTCTGTATCTTTACATTTATGACATTATTTATATATCAATAAAAGATACTGATTCTTTAGTCAGAATTCTAATCTCCCACTAAAACTCCCGTTACTCTTATTTAAGTAAAATAATTCATTTTGTAGTAATCTATATTATTGAGTTTCTAGGAACAAATTATTCTGATGGGTAAGTATATCTACCTCAAGTTCCCTCTTAGTCACACACTCCAGCATTATTGGGGAAGGACTTATTTTGAGTAAGTGATTAGTTTTTTAAAGATAAAATATCATTTAAAGGGCTCAAGTCATTTCAAGCATGAGTTTTGATTTGAGTATTTTTGAAGAAAGTTTTATCATAACACATATTCCCCTAATATAATGTAATTATAATAGTTAACAACATAATCAATATAATGTCATGAGTAACATTAATACAATGTTAACTATTTTGGATTACTTAGGGTCATTCTTACGAATATCCAGGAATAGACTATGTTATAAAATCTTTATAAACTCAGAATTTGCTGAGGAGTGTGGAGCTACTCACCCTCACCCAAGGTAGAAAGAGCCCACACTTTTTCTCAGATGACAGTGTCTGTCTGCCTCTTTTAACTTTTCTGCCTCCTTTGCCTCGTCAGGAGGCCACCAGTCATTTCTTGCTCCTATCAGCTTGCCTGTATCTAGCAGGCTCCCCCATCTCCATGCAGCAATCTTTTGATTCTAAAAGTGGTAGAAAGAGCCACAGTCTCAAAGAGAAGTGGCTCTGCCACAACCCAGCTGCATGGCCCTGGACAAACCACTGAATTGCTTTAGGAATTTGTTACCTTGTCTACACAATGAAAGAACTGGCCTGAATGACTTTTAAGTCTATCCAACCTTTAGACTTTATGATGAATCTTGCTAAGGGCTGGGAAAACTAACATCTAAGTTTACTAGAACTCTGTCCAAAGAAAGACTAGAGAAACTCCGAGAAAGGATCTTGGAGGTTCCCATACTTGGTACATGGAATTTATAGAATCCTATTTTTTCTAATGTCATGGACTTTTAGGTCTTCTGGGTTCTCTGTTATATTTCCAGTAAGTGAGGTCCTGCTTTGGATAAACTGTGTCCAGGTAAATGAGACAGAATTACACTAAGAGCTTCTTAAAAAAGAAATTAAATATGACTCCTAAACAAACTTCTTTCACATAAAAGATGAGACTTCAAGAAGAAATTTTCAAAAATCCACAGAGTAAATTATTCCTTTATGAAAATTTTTGTTTCTAAATGCATTTTCATTTGATATACCAACAAAATGACACTACATACTAAAAAATGATTTACCTATAACCACATCATGACCATCAACCAAGCCAGCAGAGAAGAGCTCCTGAGAAACGCCATCCGCCGTGTCTGTCCAAATGGGAAATGAATATGTATTAGTAACCATAAAATAAAAATCAACAGTCCATTACAATGTAAAATATATATTTTTCATTTACGAAAATCATCCACATGTGTTTTAATTCAACAATTCAGATTCTATCAGAAGCAATGTAAAATACATTTTGCCATGTACTTTTTGCATCTTGCTACTTATTCAAAAGCAGTTACACAAAATTATTGTTTCATTTGTGGTGAACCAAGAAACTTTTGCCCTTTGGCTACTGTCTGAATTAATCCTCAAATGCACCTCTAGAAGTTATCTCGTAACTGGTCCCTATGATCCTACCTTTCTTTCTTGCCAAGGTTAATTCCAGCCATCATCAATCCTTTTCTACCATTAATAGCTACTGAGTCAGAATTTATGGCAAAGGTTGAATAGGAGCATTTGATACAACCTAATAAAAAACCTAATATTTGGTACAAACAGCCTAAGAGCTTGTTGGACTATTAAGATGAGCTATTTAAATTTATGCTATTAAGAAACTCCTTTAACATGACATTGATCATTTGATAGCAACAGATTCATTCTCTTTGAAAATGTAGTTGAATAAAAGAATGCAGTTTCTCAATGATAAGTGACAGGAATTAGCAATCTCATAAAGATGGGACTGAACAGGCCATAGCAAGTGAATATAGCTGAAATTGCTTAATTGAAAAGTTATGAATGAACATGATAATAATGTGAAGTCTGTTTGAAGACTTTGTAAAGAGAAATTGATAAACTGCAATGTGATCAAAAGAACCATTATGAACCCCTAGGTTTTCACAAGGAACATGACATGGTCCCCATGGCCTTCTGATATTCTCAAAACCATTCAGAACTGTAGCTAGATAAGAAGAAACTGGCTCAGCAGATGGAGGTTTGACTTAAGTTTTCTTCCAAAGTCAGGGAGCACCTGCAAGTATAGCTGCTGAATCAAACAAGCATCTAAACTGAACTGCAGTTTGCTCTGCCAAAGGCCGCCCCTCAACACAATCTGAGTTTCCTTGCTTAATCTATGTTTCAGATGTGGTGACTCTGTAAGTGAGCTCGAGTGTGTGTGTGCATGTGGGCATGTAGCTGGAGGGACAATTACCTTTCAATATTCTTTGGCTTTAAAGAGCTTAGCCTGGCGTTTGATATAGTAATTACTAAATAAATGGTAGCTGTGGTAATGATACAGCAGATCATTTGAAATGCATCTTACATTCTTGTGTACTCGCTTTCTCCCTTTCATACATGGCCCAGTTTCCCAAATCTCCAATAAAAATTTGAGAGCCATGTATATTCTTTGTACTTCCAGAGAAATTGTGGTATTCTATCATTTTACTCATTCCATTCCATAATGAATGAGATAGAATAAAATGAAGAAAATGGAAAAGAAATACATAGGAATCGTACTACACTATGAAATTCCATATAAGGTGGGCTTATCTTGGGCCTTGTCCTTACTGCTAGAAGTAGAAGTAAAAAAAACACCTTACAAAATTCTCTTAGAGATAAAATGATCCCCTAGCATGGAATGTAGGGTAAAGTAATGAAAGGCTCTCCTGAGAATGTGATTTGGCTTTATGAAGTCAGCTAGAGCTTTCAGTCTCACAATCTCCATCTTCCTGGAGGCCAGCAGAAACTTCAGGAAATGATACTTATTGAATTAAAGTGTCTACTAGGGCACACAGTAGGCAGTCATTACATTTGTATTGATTGATCATCTGTTAAAGCATGTGAATATGTTTCCAGCCTCTCTAAAGTATCAATACTTGAGTAAGGAGCTACGATCACAGAATGTAGTTGAAAATGGAATAATCAAACAAAGCCATATTGAGGGCTAGCACTAAAACAGAAGCAAAACAAATGACATCCCCAAATAGTCAAAGTGTACAGCATCTCCTACTATTTTCAGGACTCGGAGGTGCCAGATGAGTCATATTAAAACAGCAAACAGTCATGCTGGCTCACCAAAAATGGAAATATTCCATGTGTGTGTGTGTGTGTCATTAAGCAGTTATTTTGTATGCACATAAGTAATGTATCAGTGATAGTTCAGAACAGAAATGTGAAGGTAATTGGTAGTTTATTTTTCGTTAAGTTGCTTAACATTCCTGATGTGTAAACAGTTAAATAATCAATATACTCAGGTCTCCAGAGAATACAGCAACATAATAAGCAGAAAGGGCTTGCCCTCCAATGAGGACAGAGAATATTTGATATGTTTATGTTATATACTCTAGCCATATATACATATTTACGTGTAAATACAGCACAGACATAGTACACATGTTGTGTGCATGCACAGTGTAGTGCAGACAAGGTCTGAAATGCAGGTAGCATCTGTAATCTCAGAGGCACAGCGATAAATCCATGGTGTTTCTGTTATGGACCTGTGCTTGCTGTCCAGGAAGGCCAGCTATCATCAGGCAGCACCATGGTTTCTGTCTGGGCAACAAAAGCAGAGATTCTTAATCTAACCATAGCAAACGAGCCTGCCACAGCCAGCACAAAGGACCAGGTAATGCTAATAGCGCTGTCTAATACCCCCAAAGCCTTCAACTCAGAAATTCATTTCTTTCGTTATCTCTTGAAATTAAAATTGATTTTTATTGCCTTTGTCAATTTTAAATAATCAGATGAAAAGAAACAACCTTAAAATAAGAATCTGTTCTTTTACTTACTGCACTTGAAACATTTATTATATAATTACTAGGTTTCATCACAGTATTGGTCGGTCAATATTTTTGTATTATGAAAAAATAGATAGCTTTTTGATGACAGTAACTAACTGGCGCTGTACAGGTTCACAGACCAACTCTAAATTGTCAAAGATGGATGTTCCCAGAAAGAAAGATCAGTTAGCAAATTCATTAGGGGCTCTATTTACATTTATTTTGTAAAAGGTACTTCATATGTTAGTTTAATTCAAATATGCTGGCAATCATTAAATCTTTGTGCTTACAGGGGACTAGAGATCAGGGCCAGTGAATCTATGACCACATATGGCCCAGGAACATGCTTTGTTTGGTTGGCAATGTTTTTTTAAAAACTGAACCTGAATGTTTTTAGACAGAACTTTCTAGTTTCCTGAGGTCCCCACCATTCACTTTGGCTCCTGTAAGCATTTGAGTTTGTGGTTTCTTACAGATGATAACATCCGGGAGGTCAAAGCAGTTAAGTGAACAGATATCAAGCTAGAACTTTTCGGATTTTCAAAATTTTAACAAAAACTATTTAATCAAATTAAAATTTATGTGGAGCTTCAATACATAAAATAATGACAGTGTCATTAGCTTACATATATTAATATATCCAAATGTATGAGACTGATGTATTTTAGAAAGATACTCAATATAGACATCGAGGCTGTCATCATGTACATAAGAATCTGAAACCAGAGGTCAGGGAAAAGAGTCAGTCTTACCATTAGCATCTGATTTTCACTGCTCTAGGTTGTTCTGGTTATAAACTAAATAGTGGAAATAACTTTTGTTTAATAACCAGTCTTGTGCTTTCCAAAGCCTATTTATATATGTTATTTATCCATTAACTAACCAAAATTACTCAAGATTCTCCTGCATACCAGACACTTGTCAGGTGCTAGAGATACCCAGAAGTAAGCCATGGTTCTATGGCTTCCAGGCATCCAGGAGCTGAAAGAAAAACCAATCTTGCCTTTAAGCTGTTGTAATAGCAATTATTTAAAATACTAAAATTTTATTCAGCTGCAAGACTGGCATTGTGCCGACCAAGCTTACCAGTGGTGCCTGCAGCAAACAGAGGCCACAGATACTCCTAAACACAGGCTTCATGTAACCTGAACTGAGGTCACAGAGGTGAAGTATGCTACCATTTGTATATCACTGTTTGTTGCTCAGCCCTCATTAGCACTGCTGTATGCTTGTCAGTACGCTCATCAGAAGGTCCTTCAGGCCCTGCATCACCATGCCACTACCTCTTCTCATAGTTGAGCTGATATATTTCATGTCTATGTGCATATTATATATTGTGCAGCACGTGTCACCGGGATTCACATAGTCAGCAGTGATTCAGTTTAGATACCCACAATTACTGCAAATCCTTCCTTTCTTCCTTCCCCCCCCGCCTTCCTTTGTTTTTAGAGAAAGCACTTTGAATAGCAAATTATAACCACATGCTTGTGATCAATTTCTGAAATGTTCTTTGCAGCAATAAAATAATAATTTCAATTAAAACTTACCTCTTCCTGGAGTAAACTCAAATCGTATGTCATTAAGCTCCTTTCTGGAGTTTCTGAAACACATAACATATAGCACATTAAAATCTAATGAAGCAGAGTTTAATCAAACTAAATGTATTCCAATTTTTATAAGATGCTACTAACATGTAGATAACATTTTACAGCTTCAGGTTACATCCAAATACTTCCTCAACTGGAAGAGAGAGTTAAGACAATAATAAAGGGAGATATTTGTTTAATTAATTGAATTTGCCTTATCTAAACATGCTTATATCATAAAATTCCAAAAATAAAATGTTCACTTTTCTAAAATATACACTAAATCAGTAACCTTAAATATAACTTCCAAATTAAAATTTTCAGAAGCTTTTAGTCTAGAATAAATAATACTCAACATATTTTTCACATTTTTCCTGGGAAAACAGTATTTTATCAAATTAGTTTTAAACGTGAAACAGGGAAGATAGTTTTAGCAATGAAGTTCCTGACAGCACCATACATTAAATCATGCAACAAAACGCCAGCATAAGGTGTACATATTGTAGTTAAAAGTTTTACCTAAATACAGAGGGACCTCTAAATGTTATTAAATTACCCATTGGATATATAGAACTTTATTTACGTAAATATAAAATGCTTACATAAAACTGCAATACATACATATACTATGTATATTTCAATCAAAAAGTTAAACAACACTGGGGAAACATGGAACAAATAAATATCTAAGATATGAGTTTTCCATTTATATTAACTTCAAGAAATGATAATAAGAGCAATGAACTATAATTAGAATAGTTTTAAATTCTCATAAGAACGTTAAAATATTATGAGTAACTCTCAACAGATGCTAAAGTTAATAAAAACACCTTAAGAAACTGCAGTAGGAAATATGAAATAGCAATTTCTGTAAGCACTCAACTATTTGCTCAGCCATTGAGGGTGTCCTAGACAGAGACAGAGATGGCCTGAATACCTTTCCCTGAACATCCTCCTTCTAGAGCCAGGAGAGTCTGATCAAATCCCATTCGCTACTCCAGTTTGGTACTCTAAAACTCCAAGTAATATCTCCTGGTCTCTATGGACAGTGTCCAAATCATGCATACACCAGTCTCTGGGCCCTTTTTTGTCTGTAGCCTGATCTTGGTTCTTTATGTCCTACCACACTAAGTGCAAGGAGGCCCAGCAAGATGACAAAGGCATGATACTGACAGCAAGCCCTTCTCCCCAGTGCCTAGAGAAGCTGGCACAAGTCTAACACCTTTCCACAAGCAGAGAAGTAAAAGGTCAAGAACTCAGGAGACACCCAAGCCCAGGTCACAGACCTAATAAGAGCCTTGAACCACTATGCATCTCACTTCAGGTGTCCCCACCTTGACTTTATCACTATTCCTCTCAGAGTTAGAATGTGTGTAGGGAGCATCAGCCATTCCTACAGCTGTTTTTCTTTTAGGCCCTTCTGAGACTCTGAAAATTATAAACTCTCATTCTAAAAAAGTACACATATGGGGGCTGGCCCCGTGGCCGAGTGGTTAAGTTCGTGCGCTCCGCTGCAGGCGGCCCAGTGTTTCGTTAGTTCGGATCCTGGGCGCGGACATGGCGCTACTCATCAGACCACGCTGAGGCGGCGTCCCACATGCCACAACTAGAAGAACCCACAACGAAGAATACACAACTATGTACCGGGGGGCTTTGGGGAGAAAAAGGAAAAAATAAAATCTTTAAAAAAAAAAAAAAAAAGTACACATATGACCAACACATGAAATTGCAGACAACTGGAGAGGGCTCAGAGATCATCGTGGTCCCCAGACTAAGCACGATCAATGTGTGCAGTGGAAAGACTGTTTGCATGTTGGATTGTTTAAACAGCCTAAACTTTCTTAATAAACTACCAAAGTCACCACACATTTACATAGTGCCTTCATATGTATCAACAGTTATCAAACTTTTTGGTCTTAGGACCCCTTTACATTCTTTTTTTTTTTTGAGGAAGATTAGCCCTGAGCTAACTGCCGCCAATCCTCCTCTTTCTGCTGAAGAAGGCTGGCCCTGAGCTAACATCTGTGCCCATCTTCCTCTCCTTTATACATGGGACGCCTACAACAGCATGGCTTGCCAAGCGGTGCCATGTCTGCACCCGGGATCTGAATCGGCGAACCCTGGGCATGTGCACTTAACCACTGCGCCACCAGGCCAGCTCCCCCTTTACATTATTAAAAAGTATTAAGGACCCCTATGGAACTTTTGTTTATGTTATTTATTAAATATCTGTCAATATTTACTGTAGTGGAAATTAAAACTGATAAATTTAAAAATATTTATTAACTTATTTGAAAATGATAATAATTAACCCATTACATTAATGTAAAAAAAATTTTTTAATGAAAAATTACTTTCCAAAAGGAAAATCAGTGAAAAGAGCGCATTGTTTTCTATTTTTGTACACCTCTGTGATGTCTGGCTTAAGATATCTGAATTTTTATATTTGCTTCTGTCTTCAGTCTGTTGCAACATCATACATCATGTAGCCAGTTGTTGGAAAATTCCACCATACATATGTGAAAGAATGAGAGTAAAAAAGGCAAATAATTTCTTAATATTATTATCAAAATAGTTTTGACCTCACAGGCTTCCTGAAAAGGTCTCAAGGACCCCCAGGGGTAACAGGACCACACTTTGAGAAACACTGACATCAAATCTCATTTGGGGGCCGGTCCTGTCCATGGCCAAGTGGTTAAGTTCGCCCACTCCGCTTCGGTGGCCCAGGGTTTCGCTGGTTCGGATCCTGGGCACGGACACGGCACCATTCATCAGGCCACGCTGAGGTGGCGTCCCACATGCCATAACTAGAAGGACTCACAACTAAAATATACAACCATGTCCTGGGGGGATTTGGGGATAAAAAGCAGAAAAAGAAAATCTCATTTGACCCGAAAAACAACCTTTGAGATATACAAAGTAGGTACTACTTGTTTTCCATTTTTCATGTGAGTACATTCAAGGCTTTTCCAAGTTTATAAATTTAATGAATGGCAGAGTGAGGACTGAGAATTGTACGTTGGAAATACCTAAAACAAATAGAAATGCTCAATTCCTTTCACTTTCGAGAGAAAACATTTCCCAAGATTTTGCATGTTACCATAAAAAGATCAGCAAGCATTCATTTATTTAATAGCCTTGGTTTTGTGTGCTGTATATCAGTAAAGGATGAATTAGAACTAAAACAATCCAATGAGAAAAAGCGATCACTAGGAAAGCAAGTGTTTATAATGTATTTACTAATGAAATGAGAGGAGGGGGGAATTTGATTTGATGCTAATTCATCAGTCCTCTTCCTTTCTTTCCTTTGATCAGTCTTGTCTAAATCAGTTTGTTCTACAAAGGCCATGAGAAGAGAGATATGAGAACCGTACCCAAAATATCATCATGCACATCCTGATTCTTTTCACATTAATGCCACAAAAGTAATACCCAAAAGCCACAATCTCTATCTACATCAGCTGGGGCTCAAGTTATGCAGGTTGCCTAGTCAAGTCATTCTTTTATGACTCTGAACCTATAACACCCACCTTTGAAAAGATCACAGTGATTGATTATGAATAGTAGACCTGTCCCATCAGGATGAAATATAGTTGGAAAAATGCCTAATTGGATCTAACTACTGAAGGTCATCCTTTTATAAAGAATTAATCTTTTCAGACTCATACTTAACACCTTTAATTGAAAGTACATTTACTTTAATTGATACGGCACAGGATACTCTTAATTTCAGGGAAGCTGAAAATAGGGATGATTTAAGGCCAGAAACTAAGTCTGTGCAACTTTACAGAGGAAACATTTAAAACTTGAGAGTTAACAGCTTCAAGACGAAGGCTACCTTTGATAACCCTTATTAAAAACCCTTTTTTAATCCATTAAAAAAAAACCTCTTAAATTTGGTAAGGCATAACACCTTATTTCTCATTGTATGTGTATATTGCATAAAAAATGCAAATGCCTACGGGACTCAGGCAGGAAATTTATTTTTTAAAAGAGATGATAAAATCACATGGTTTAAAAATCAAAAGGTAAGACAGGGTACTGTATTCTCTAAAAACCAGCCCTCCCACTCCTGTCACTCAACTACCTGATTCGTCTCATAGTGGCGATCGTTGCTATAGGCTATTTGTGCCTCCTTCCTGAGATGTTTTATGCATATTCTAGCAAATAGACATATAGAGTTTCTTCCAGCCTGTTTAATACAAATGGTAGCATACTACCCATTGTTCAGCACCTTCCTTTTTTTATTATTTTTTTTTAACAAAATACACCTTGAAATTTCTCCATATTGGCTCAAAGAGAGCTTTCTCATTCTTTTTTTATGGCTACATAGGATTCTGTTGTATGCTCTTTCCTCTTTTTAGCCAGTTGCCATTCTGTAAACAGATTGTTTCCAGTCTTGCACTATTATAAACAATGCTTCAATGAATAACCTTATTCTCATGTCCTATTGCAAGTATATGAGTATAAAAATAAATTTCTAGAAGGAAATTGCTTGGGCAAAGTACATATATGCATTTGCAATTTGATAAATATTGTCAAATTCTCCTTCATTTAAGTTGTACCAATTTATGCTCTCACAAGCAATTTGTAAGCATCACGGCAGGAACTTTAAATGAGTAAAGCAGGAAGTGTATTAAAAAAAACCAGGGAGATGGGGTGACTTTGCCAGCTGGAAAGCTTCCCATTTAAAGGGGGAAACCACTACTCAGCACCAGCTGGTTAGGCCAGGCAGGAATTCAGGCTCAATGTTGCTAAATATTCAGATTTTTCAGAGAAGCTGGAAATTTGAAATTTTCAGTACCAACAAACATTTTCTTTTTGCTACGTCCATTCAAAGTGAGAAGTTCGGAATACAGATTGGCATGCGTAAGGTTTTTCTTCTTACTCTTTTAATTCATCTGCAGGGGACAATAGTGAACACTCAAATGAGGCAGCTGGCTAAGAGGGTGGTGACGACAAACACATGAGTGAACACGTAACTCTTCCTGATGGCAGAGATACAGAAGGCCCA